GTACATATAAAATATTTTACATTTAAATGTAATATTGAGTAACACTGTTAAAATTATAATAACCAAGTACTATATCTCTAAATAGACCCTCTTTGGCACAGAAGGGAGGGGTTTAGATCTGTGTGTTCATGTGTGTGATTCTTGAGAGTATTGATCTGAAACGCAGCTCGCTCTTCTTCTGGTGTCCGGGTGCAGACACAGACGTGCACTCCTGAAGACCCATGGGACTGTCTGGAGATGGATCAATATGTAGGTCAACTTTGCACATACTGTCTGGATTTTCATTTAGCACTCTTTCTTTTGGGAATATGTTTATAACTGAATAAAACCTTTTGAGTTTTCAGCTAAACTAGCTTTAACAATTTCCCGGCAATACGCATATTTTTGAATAAAAACCTTTTGAGTTTTCAGCTAAACTAGCTTTAACAATTTCCCGGCAATACGCATATTTTTTTGGCTTTAAAAAAATATTAACAGTATGTGGACATTACAAAACCCACAGACATGATGTTAGAGTGTTTTAGGTGGTTGCTATGCCATTGCATAGGTGATAGATGGTTGCCCACCTCCAAGTAAGTACCACCAATTAAATGTTATGTACCCCTTTTTTCCTCAAAATATATGAGATGTAAATATATACAATTTCATATCATTTTTTTTTTCTTCTCAATTCATTGACCTCTTGTTTCAGAGGGTTTAGGACAGAAGGACATCGCAAAGAGCTGATTTTGACAAAGGAAAAATGTTCCATCATGCAGATGAAATATTGTGTACAGCCTGACAACTTTTGTTTCGTGTTAAGCCACAAATTGTATATTTACAGCAGTATTTGTTATTTACAGATGTTGTTGGATTTGGTTTTGTAAAAAGGACATTTTGTTCCTGTGAATCAGTATCCTGCAGCAGACCCGCATGTACAGGGATTAATGAGCCTGCCATATATCTTGTGGGGGGAAGGTCTTCTTTTAAATTCAAAGGTCTAAAACAGACCTGGCATGAGGCATTCATTTTAGTTAAAAATGAAAGCACAGGCTTATTTTCACATTTACTTTGTAACTCAGTACTGAATAATTTGATCCCATTGCAAGAACTTTTTATAAAATCAGAAAAGACAGATTATATTCAAGTACTTTATATTTCTTTTATAATTAAGTTGTATAATACTATTATTGTAATTTCACTTTTGCCATCCCCAACCTCATTTTGTCTTTGTGAGTCATTTCATGGATTTATTGACTGGTAGCAATTCCTGTGCAGTCTATTGTTTTAAAATGGCTGATAAACCACTTTGATCAATCACTTGAACACTTATACTGAATCTTATCATAAGAAACCAAAGCAGAGTTTAGAGATCATTATCTTAAGCATATGACTGTGCAGGAACAGAATGTGGCATATTCCTTGACAACAGTGGTTAAAGAACAGACATATAAAGAAAGCAAAGGTGATCATTTACATTCCTAACATACCACTGAACTCATGATTACAAGAACTGTAACCAAGCCGCTTTCTACAATTTTTTCTTGAAATAGCTAAGAGCTTATTGGATTACAAAATCACACCCTGAGAAAACTATGCTGGAGAGTTTCAAGACATCTTGGTAGTCAGATCAGCTACCAAAAAAAAGCTTTTTTAGCACAAGCTATTTCAAACCGTGTTTGCTAATTCGCATTTTCAGTCATTTTCATAATTAGGATAATCATTTTTTAACATCATGAAAATCGTAAAATAGGGCGTGCAAAATGGTTGGTGTGGCTCAAAGTGGTCCCACTTTGAGACTAGTTCAGATTTTAAGAAGAGGTCGTTTACATACCTAACATACCAACTCATGACTACATTATGGCCTGTATAGCCTTCTCTAGCTTTTTACACCATCTCTGTCTGCAAAATATGTTAAGGGGGCAAATGTGGGTCATAGGTCATGTCGGCCTCTGTCTTCTAGGTTACTTCCCCTATCTCCCGAGAAATGGCATGCATTTTTGAGCATATATTGTTTAGCCCTCATATACATACATACATATATATATAAGGTTTGTGGTTGGTGAGGTTTTTTAAGTGATTTTGAAAGAAGTAAAAAACTAGATGGGATATTTTCTCTTTGCAGTGATATTTCAGATGTGGTGGACAAATGAGACAATGGGTGTGTCTCTACATAATGCAGGTCTTCACAGGTGCTATGATAATACCCTCACAATCACCTCGCGTTATCATTCTCTGCCCTATTCACATGTACACTTTTGAAGCGTTTTAAGATAACAATGGTACTCACAGAACTTCTGACCTAAAAACAGATTTGCTTCTTTCTTTACCTATAATAGCCCTTTGAAACATTGGCAGAAGTCATTTGAACTCTCCCATAAACTCAACAATGTGTATTAATATCGACTGGCCTGATCTAACACAATGGAAGAAGTCACAGCAGTGTGTACAGTGATGGCTTATGGTGAAGAACAAAGCAAGCAGCTCTTCATTTTGTGGTGTGTCTCATCTTTCTTTTCCTAAATAGCGGTTCATTAAAAAAGTTCTAATCCTGTGCTCATTTTTGACCAGGTGAGCGTTCAAAAGCTTTCAGTATGTAGTATTTGTTTCTGTATGTACTGTATGAGTATGTTTCCTCGTGCCATTGTCCACACTGCCTTGTTTTGGAGAGAGCTTCCGTTTGGATTGTGTTCAGTATCTTTTGAATATAATGAAAGCCCTCGTGTGCAGTCTGTGCTGCAGCAGAGGAACTGAGAGGAGTCTGATTCTCATGACCTTGGGATGTTGTCTAGTCAGCTCCACTAGATCCCACTGACATTCAGAAAGATCCACACTGTCCTTGCACTGTCTGATCGCCCGGATCCATGATATGTCTCCACACGTGTGTATCTACCCTGTATCTGGATTTTCAGCTCTTATCGACTTGTGGCTACTCCATAACCAGTCTTTCTTAAAGGGATAGTTCACCCAGAACTGGAAATTTTGTAATTTACTCATCCTCAGTGCAGCCTCGAAAACTTTTTTCCCAGAGGCTTATTATATAAATACATAAGGGTATAATAGCCTATATACACTGGCGACCAAAAGCTTGGAATAATTAAGATTTTTAAATGTTTTTGAAAGAAGTTTCTTATGCTCACCTTCTTATGCTGCATTTCTTTGATTAAAAACAGTAATATGGTGAAATATTATTACACTTTCACTCTTATTCCCTGAGAACTTTCTTTTCTTGTTTTCACTGAAGATCCACAGCCTCCACATGCTTTTCATTTCTGGCCAACAGGTCAGCTTAACATAACAAGTGCAACTCTTTGTACTGAACAGATGATCCCTTCTGGATCTTGTCGTGTTGAGTCAGCCCTCTCTTGGCAGGTGTCTTGATGTCTGAACCCAGTCAGACTGTCAGACAATGTAAGTGCAAAACAAATGGAGTCTCTAATCCCTTGAGCATGCAAGAAATGAAAGGATGTAAGGAGCTTATAAAACAAGAGAACCTGTCATACTATTATCCAGCTAATGAGGAATCTCACTACATAACTATTCTACAGAATCAGACATGGGGAATCCCGAAGCATGTTAACACTTTGCATAGACAGGTGGTTATTTAACACTCTGATGGATGAATGAATCATAAAGGAAATATATCTTATGTCTTATTAATACCTAATCTATTGTATATTTTTACTTTTTTAGACATATTTATTTTTGTTATTAAAAACAGACGGTTGATCATGGCATTCTTTTATCACATCTTGAAAAGTGTGTGGGCATCCAAGGAAGTGCCCTTAGATGTTATCTTAGTAACACAACCTTTTCAGTAGGCATTGGTCGCTCTGTTTCTGTAGCACCTCTCACCTGTGGTGTTCCTCAAGGCTCTATTTTGGCTCCCATATTGTTTTCGTTGTACATGCAATTAATTATAATTCTTGGTCTTATTCTAACTTAAATTTTATTGTTATTGTTTCTTTCTCTTCTGTACAGCACAGTGGTCAACTTTTGTTGTGTTTATTTGTGCATTATAAATAAATTAAATTAAATCAGACATTTGCTTATTTCATTCAGGATATATTAATAGTCTGAGCAGAACAGAAAAAAAAACATACTCAGAAAAATGTTTATCTTTACCGAGACATTGTCATATGGAGAGAATCATGATACTGACACAAAACCTGCTTCCTTTCGATAGAGACAAGACAAAATACTGATAAGCTGCTGTTCACTATGTGAGTCAGATGTTGTTTCAGTAACTGCTCTGATCGATTTGTTTCAGTGAAGGATTCATCAAACTGATTATGAAATAGATATTGCTGGAGATAAGACTGGCTGCTAAAAATTCAGCTTTGCCACCACAAGATTAAATTACATTTAAAAAAAAATATTAAACTGAAAACAGTTATTTTTCAATTGTAATAATATTTCACTATATTACACATTTCTTTGCTCACTTTTTGATAAAAAAAAGATGCTTCTTTCAAAAACATAAAAAAATCATAATTATTCTAAATTTAGGATTATTTATTTATTGCTTCACTTTTGTACCCTGACACACTATAGATTCCCAGTTGCTGAAAAGCGAGAGCAAAAATAAAATGGCACAGTAATTTACCTCAAACCTTTCTCCTGTAAAAGTAAAGCTTTTATTCGCATATTCTACAATGCACTACAGTCTCCATAGGGATTTTAAGGGAAATTGTTAGTATCCTCAGGGAGCTTTAAAGGTCTCAGGAAGATTCTCAATGGTCAGTGGTAGTGGATGGATACTGAAGTTTTTCTCTAGTCTCCTTTGAGTACTGTAGATGTAACTGAACATGCTGTGCCTTTGATACTTGTATGGAAAACCCTTTATGTACATATTTTTATACCATGACTGGTGAATTGAATTACTTTTAATAACTTTCATCCTCCTTTGATCGAATCATGATTGAATTGACTCCAGATCATGACTTTATGACACTATGACACACTGTGCACATTCATTCCAAGTACAATCAATGCCCATGTGGGCTGTTTTTGTGTTCCAGATGGGAGGAGGAGGTGTCTAAACGTCAGCAGATGGAGTCTTTGGTGGAGACATTACAGGAGGTGAGATTTCAGACCTATTATATTGTGACTGTGTTGATGTTTGACATCCATACAGATGCACTGATGCATGGCTAGCTGTAAGTAATGCTAGTTTATAGAAGAAAATTCCCCCACCCACACTGTAAAAATATATTCTGAGACCGTGTAAATAATGCTGAAAAAACAACCAAAGATTTGCTTGATTACTGTAGTTTTGTAGCATGTAAACTTGACATTAAGTCCAGTCAAAACATTTCATTATAATAATTAAGTAAATGAATTCAGCTAAAAAAAGACATCCAAAGTAGTGCTTTTATTTTCACCCCTTGTTTTTTCAGTGCACAGCAAATCTTACTAAATGCTCTCTTTACAGACTGTTCAGTCATCTGAGGCTGTGCAGGGAGAATTGAATGAGAAGATGGAACGTCTTAAAACAGAGCTGGTGGTCTTTAAAAGCCTCATGCCTCGTGATGTAAGTTTCCTGCTATATCCGCTATCAACTTCTGCACACAACTGATGGCACGCAAAACATGCAAATATCAATTGAAAACAGTACCTTATTTGAAACAGGGAAACAAAAGCATCATTTGACTGCAGCTGTGAATGATAATAAAGATTACAAGATTGACTTTCAGGGAAATAAAAATGAACCCGTAGGTACATTTCTCTAGAATCAGGCTGAATAGTTGCCCATAGATCTGTGTGGGCAAATAAGCAGTGAAGCAGTCAGTCTTCTGGCCCTGGAACAGATGTATATTGTTCCCTCATGTTAAGTAGATGTTGGCCAGTCCCAGTAATAAAGCACAGCTGATTGCTGCCTCCCTGGATATGTCAATGTGAATGTACACAGTTGCAAAGCAGTTCAAAAGAAGCTGTACCATCTGTTGCAGCCAAATTAGCTTGGAGTATTTTATCTGCTCTTTGAGGTTTATTTATGCCTACTGACCCATAAAAAGGCTGTGTACTGTGTAGTGCTATTTATGCACAGTTTTCTAACATATAATATAATTATATAATATATGGACGGCTGGACGATATAGCCAAAATTTATATCACAATATATTTCTTCATTTCGGTCGATACGATATAATTCTGATATCGATATGAACACTATTTAAAAAAGCCTCGTAAAAACTGCCAAGAACGCTCACAACAGATGCTGTCTAACAAACTTATGAAAAATGAATTTGGCAAGTCTATGACACCACATATAAAACCATATAATATTTTAGAAAATGTTCCCCTTTTATTTGTATTTAGCCTTCATACAAACAAGAAATGTGAAATCACTGTCAAATAATTGTCTCAGACTCACCTAATTAATATTAATATCTTTAACTTCAAATTGTAGTTATTTTAAATATTTTTACTATTTAAAGGGGTCATATGATGTTGCTAAAAAGAACATTATTTTGTGTATTTGGTGTAATGAAATGGGTTTATGCGGTTTAAGGTTAAAAAAACACATTATTTTCCACATACTGTACATTATTGTTTCTCCTCTATGCCCCACCTTTCTGAAACGCGTCGATTTTTACAAAGCTCATCGGTCTGAAAAGCGAGGTGTGCTCTGATTGGCCATCTGTCCAGTGCGTTGTGATTGGCTGAATACCTCGAGCGTGTGACGGAAATGTTAAGCCCCTTGCCATATTGTGATGCCCTGACCGGCCGGAGCGACGAGACAAAAACATTAAAACCCATTATAAACTAGGCATTTGTTGCATCCAGTGGGGACATAATTACGGATTATAATGACTTATACGTCTTTTTATGCGTTGCATCGCACCGCGTAGACAAAAAACCATGTCTGCATTTGTGATCGGAGAAA